AGGCTCCACCCCACTCTATCCCCCAGCATTTTGTGTAGGTATTTATTTATACATAACCAGTTAATAAGCATTGCCTGAGATCAAGTACTCAGTCTCAGCGTAGTCCTCCTACCACATCCATCACACCCACAGCAATTCTGGTTTTTTTGGTTTCTGATCTAAGGAAATCTTCCCATGCACTTTTTGTTTTGTTTGTTTTATTTTTCTGAGACATGGTTTCTCTGTGTGTCCCTAGCTGTCCTGGAACTTGATTAGTAGACTAGGCTGGCTTTGAACTCAGACATCTGCCTGCCTCTGCCTCCCAAATGCTGGGACTATAAGTGTGTGGCACAACACTCAGCCTCATACACATTTTATAAAGTTAAAGTTTATAAAGAAAGTGACCCAAGTAGCCCATTTCCTTCTATAGTGAATCATCTGGTCTCAATGAAAACTAACGGGAATTGAATGGTTTTAGTGAGTGGAGTGGAGAGATGCCGTGTCTACTAAGCCATTTGCTTTGGAGATCTGGAATATTTCAGGGCATGGGAGAAGTGTGTGGGCTGCAGAAGCATGGAGCTTCTGGTCTGACCCAAGACTGTGTCTCCAGGAAACAAAGACTTTGAAAAGAAAGCAGACTAGTGAAAGCCAATTCTTATTCGGACCTCTGATGCAACTTTAGCACTGATGACACCAGCCAGGCAGACTTTCCAGGATCACTGAGGTAACCTGGAACCAGCTAGGAAGAATGGGTTTTCACTGAGGACACAGGGTGCAGAACCCCTAGTTGGTGGTCACCCAAATGGAGCAGAAGTTTGCAGGAGAATCACTCAGGAGAACTGGTCTTGCGTGATGCTCCCCAGTACTCAAGGGTCCAGAGGCAGGAGCAGAGAGAGCCACAGTCCTGGCTGTCTTATCCATCTGCAAAAGCACCTTCTCTCTTTCTTATTAGGAAGGCAAGTAGAGACAGGAAATTTCCCATGCAAGATGCCGGCATTAGCCCTGATGTCAAACATAGAAAATACTTCCATCCTTCCATCCTTTTTCCCTTCTCTCCTCCCGCTTTCTTGGTTCCACAAGAAGCAACTGACTTCAAACAACAGCCATAGCCGTGTCATGTGGAACAATTGGTGGACTTTATCATAACATTGACAAGTACACTCACTCTTGTTCTCTTCTCCCCCTACTCCCCTCCCCGCCCCAGCATCAACCACTTTAGTCTTCTCTGGTTTCCTGTCTTGTCTCTATGAAAAGAAAACTTTGCTTATAAGCTTTTAGACTCAACAAGAAAACAGTACAAACGATGTGTGAGAGCTCTTCCTTCTGTCTCTTTGGGGTTGACATCAAAGATGAAAGCCTGTTTGTTCTCCTCCCTGACCTAAAGAGGAGCATGAAGGAGCCTGTTCTGAAGAATTCAGTTCAATGACGCCTTAGGCCACATGTGAGGCAGGAGCAAGAAACTTCTGTTATCTTCACCCACCATCCTGGCCCCTCCAGTAAGCACCGGCTCGCAAGCTTTCTCCCGCCTCTATCCCTCCACATTCCTCTTCTTCTACTCTGAGGTCTGCAATATATTTAAAGCTCTTGTTTTCATCCCGTTCCCATCAGTAAGATTTAGTTTAATGGGAGGCTCACCGAAGGGAAATTCCAGCCGCTTTTCTTCTGGGAAAGCATCCGCTGTTTTCCAGATCCAAATCCTTAACCTAACATTTCTGGTAACATTTGAAAGTTCCTGGTTTTGCTGAAACAATGCCACACACATCTGGAGTACCCTTACACATCCGCATATCAGCTTCTCTTTTCTCTTACTTTTATGGGATGAAGGGTTTTTTTTTTTTCCTTCCTCAACTCGTTAATAAAGTCTTACCATTTGAATTTTCATGCAAAAAACACACAAACAAAAACAAAACAAAACAAAAAACCCCACCAGGTCTAAAGCAAGTTCATTTAACAACCATGATCTCAATGGACTTCCATTGGCTGCACTGTCCCAGTGAACTTGAACAGCTCGACAGTGTCCCCTGGTGGCTGTGAGCATAGACACAGGACACTTGAGTGATGGCCTGAACGTGAAACAATGTGAAAATACACAAATAAAGTCAAACTACCTATCAAAAACTGTCCCCTGACTTACACATGTATCCCATGGTCAGCCCCCTCCTGCTCCATGCACATAAAATAAAAATAATAAAGTATAATTGAAATATTTTTAAAGCAGTAAAATCCACCCGAGTATGACAAGGACTAGAAAATAGGAGACGGAACAGCTACTCTACTCTATAAACTTTTCATTGAACATCACTTGTCTCCTGCACAAAATACTCAGGATTTCTCTTGATATAAAAATCTAACTCCTCAGCATCAATTACCCCCTGGCCATTATTCAACAAATATGGATTTATTGTGTAAAGTGTCATTAGCATTTGTTGAGGAATTCAATATAGAAATAAACAAAGGAAAAAAGAAAAAAGAAACTTTGCTTTCAAAAATCTCCCTTTTTAGAGGGAGAGGAGGATAAACAACAAAAAAAAATTTTAAGATCCAAAACCCAAGTTCTATGAAGAAATTCAAGGAGGGTGAGTGATAGAAGGTAATAAGATGGGGGTGGAGAGATGGCTCAGGGGTTAGGAGAACTGGCTGCTCTTCTAGAGGTCCTGAGTTCAATTCCCAGCACCCACACGGCAGTTCGAAATCATCTGTAACTGTAGTCCCATTGGATCCAATGACCTCTTCTGGAGTGCAGAAGTACATGCAAACAAAAAACAAAACAACACCCATATACATAAGTAAAGAGATGTTTAAAAGAAACTTATAGGTAGAGAGTGAGGAGGGTGTTTTTGAAAGGATGGTCAGGTGAAGCCTCTCTAAAGGTGTTACGGCTTAAATATATCACCCAGATACCATGTGCCCAAACCATACATTAGCAATATGTGAGAGGCAGGACTGTTGGGAGGTGATGCAGTCATGAGGGTCTTGTCCTTACAGTGGGTTAACCCATTTATGGATTCCTGGATTGTCGGGAGAGTTGGTCTGAATAAAACCCAGCTGTCTAGTTATGCTTTCTCTGCCTCACCATGTGATATCCTCTGCCGGCCATGGCCCAGCAGGAAGGTCCTCACCACCTCTGACCAGGTGCTGTCCTCCAGTCCACACTTTCCAACACCCAGAACAGTGGACTGAAGGAAACTATTCTTTGTAAATCCTCCAGTCTGTGTTCAGTTGTAGCGACAGAGAGCAGAGTGAGACAAGGGGGTACCAATCACACTGAGTGCTCATGGGAAATCACAGAGAGATCCTGCAGGAAAGAGTTAACAGCAAATGGAGAAGCCTGGAGCAGGGACCATTCTGACCCACTTGGGAAAAAGCAAGAAGGCGAGGGAGGGAGGCAGCTGGCACTTGATGAGGAAGAAGGAAATGGGCGAGTCGTTAAAGGAGGTGGTCTAGGGTTGGAGTACATGCTCCATGCAAAAAAAAAAAAAAAATGGAATCTAGTCTAGCTTTAGAACTTTCTGGAGACCTCTGAGTGGGCGCTGTCACATTCTTACTCTTTAGAAGACACCATAGCTGCTGAGTGATCCTTTTAAAAGTATGGTGAAAGCTAAGGTTACAGTTTGTGACAGCCGTGAGTGAAGGCAGAAAGATAGCTACAAAAGCCAGGCATGGTGGTGCATGCCTGTAACCCCCAGCACTTGGAAGGGTGAGGCAGGGACCACATGCTTGAAGTCAGCCTGGGCTCCACAGAAAATATGATGGGAAACTGAAGAAGGCAAAGTAGCTGGGGGTGGAGGGTGGGGCTCATTGTTAAATAAGACATTGCAATGGGCTTAGTGGCGTTAGGAATAATTCTGCATTGGATGGAAGTTGGCAAGAAGGGATAGGATCCAGCACACGCTTGAGGGGATGGCAGCTTTAGACGGGAGCAAGGAGCATGAGCAAAGGCAATATATATGGAAGGGAGGTATCCATGGAAGGCGTGGAGAAATGAGTCTCCACCTCAGCGTTTTTCATTTCTCATTGAGACAAAAAGCAAGAAGCTACATTCAGGCTGGAGGTCAGGACTCAGGGCTCAAAGACTTGAAGATAGCAGGGAAAGTTAGCAGAAGGCGAATTTGCTAGGGGTCTTGAGGGAGACTGCCTGGTATATTCCTGGCACTAACCTACACCTAAGGCAGTTGTGCCAGAATGCCAGCCTGTTGATACATTCTCTGTGTGAGTGTGTGGGCATGCCTCAGCACTTGTGTTCAAGGCAAAGGACAGTAGTGGGATTGATTCTCTCCGTCTACCATGTGGGCTCCAGGGACAAATCCCAGTCTCGGGCTTAGGGGCACTTACAGGGGAACCATCACCATATTTTTAAGACAAGGTTTCTCACTGAACCTGGAGCTCACTGATTCAGTTAGCTTCCTGACCAGCAAGCCTTGGAATCTGCCTGTCTCTGACTCCAGCGCTGAGTTACGTGCCTGACTTTTTATGTGAGTGCCAGGTCCCCCAGTGTTTGTGCAGTGAGCAATTTAACCACTGAGCCATTTCACTACAACTAGGACGCTAGTTTAATGTGTTACTAGAAAACAGTAATAAGAAATCTTCTCAGGTATGAAATGTTTTAGACTTGTTGGTTGTTATCATCGTCACTACTGCTGTTTGATTTATTTGGGGGTTTAAAGGCCCAGGCTGACCTCAAACTTGCTATGAACTAACCCTCTTGTCTCCATCTCCGGAATGCTATGACTACAGGCATGAAGCACCATGCCTGCCTGGAATGTTTTAAATGTTTCAAACACCCAGAAGGGACTTAACTCCCAGGTTTATACTATTTAAATGCAATTGACATTTTGTTTCAGATAATGAAACAGTGCAGGCACAGCTGTCAGCCTTTTTGTAACCCTCTCTAATACCACATCCTTCCTCCCTTCTCTTTCAAGTTTTATTTATCAAGACAGAAAGCAACAGTATTCCTTATCTGAGCTACCAACAGTTCTGTGGTAACTTCAATTAATACAAAGCTGTCATTCAAGATTTACCTGTTATCTGGGTTGTCAGGTAAATGACCACAGGAAGTGCTGAAGACAAAGCCTGAAGGCTGACTGTGTAGTTGGTACCTGGATGCAGATCCAGGCATATCTCAGGGGCCTGGCTGTGGCTGGTGGTATTGAAGACTATTTCCGGAACAAATGTCTTCTGATTCCATCTCTGGCCCCAGATGTGGAACTGAAAGATAAAAGGCTCACAGGGTGAATCACTGGCTTGAAGGTTCTAAATGCCTTAAGACCTATGCTTTTCCAGGAGCTTTCTCCCCACCCCTCTTCTCCCCCAACTATAGTGTTTTTTCAAGAAGTAAATGCAACAATAAGATAATAGTAACTTTTCAACACTATACATATTTTGTACATATAATGGTTACAATACCATGAGAATGATATATACATTTTATAGTAAAAGTACACCAATTGATCATTATGGTTGATAGCTTAATTGCAGCCCTCAGGAGACTTGACTTATTTATATTTTTATATTTTATTTATGTGTGTGGGGAGTGGGTATGTGTGCCTCTGTGCAGGTGTCCACAGAGGCCAAAAGTGGGCACTGGATCTCCTGGAGTGGAAATCAGAGGCTGGGGTGAGCTGCTGGGTGTGGGTCCTGGGAACCCAACTCTGGTCTTCTGCAAGAGCATAAAACACTGAGTATTTTATGCTATGTTGGTCTACAAAGGCCAGCCTAGGATACATAGTAAAACATCTCAAAAATAAGATAAAATAAAAGAGCAAAGCTCAAAGGCCCCTACACAGGAAGCTTTCTCTTTTTGTATCCTTGCACACAGTGTGGAAGTCTGCTGGCAAAACCACAGAAGCACGGCCAAAGAACATTTTCTTAGAGAGACAGTTAGGAATCTAACCAGGCACACCCTGATTAGGGAGCTCCTTTTTGTGACCTCCCTGTAGCTGAAGCTGGAGTCCTTTTTCTTCCCATGACTACCTTTCTTTCAGGAATCATCTAACTTCACAGATTCCCTTTGACTGTCCAGGCAACACAACCAGACCCTGGGTTCTGTGGAGACACCAGTATGACTACAGATGACTGGACTCCTCCCATAGACTGCACCAGGACACCCATGCAACTCCAGACACTTCCACGCTTTCTGACTACTCCCAATAAGTCTGTCTGCAGACAAGCAGCAGAAGAGGCTCTTCAGTGCTTCTTATTCAGTCACCATGATACATCTTCTGCCAATGGCAGCTACAAACGTAGTTTTTAGTCTTGTAGATTTAAATTTTTTTAAAGATTTATTTATTTTATTTTATAGGCATGAGCGTTTTACCTACATGTATGCATATGTGTGTATGCATACATGGGCCCACAGAGGTCAGAAAAGGTGAATTTTCTGGAAACAGAGTTACAGATGATTGGGAGCTGTCATGAGGGTGCTGGGAACTGAACTTGGATTCTCTGAAAGAGCAGCTGAGCTGTCTTAACTGCTGAGCCATCGCTCCGGCCCCTAGACAGGTTTTAAACCTGCCACATAGTACACACATCTACAAGTAAGGTTAATTTTAGAAACTCACTAAATACATCTCTTCTTCATTGGCCATCTTCAGGCTTCTCCATCTGAGGCAGGTTTCATTGTATATTGAAATATTCGTGATGGTCTGTTTGGCTGCAGAGGGGAAAGAAAGAACTGAATTTACACTGTAGGAAAGAAAAAAAACCATAAAACCACTAACTTTTCATTGAAATATTTTCCTAGGAAAAGCATTTACATAGGATGAATTCAGCAGCATTTTCATTTAGAAGTCAGTTTTCAAGAAACACCATGTCCGAGTTTAAGCAAATGAGACCTGGGAGGGGTTTAAGAACCAAAGATACCCAGTCAGAGGGTCCCTCTTAAAATATTTAGGCTAGCCACTGCCAAACCCCCTTGGCTTACTAGGTTTAAGTTAGAACTCATTGCCATGGGCTTTGGAAATCATTTGGACAAAGTAGGCATCAGTCTGAAACTCTGAACTAAAGGGGACATCTCAGTAGAATCACTCTCTGAGGAACTGAAAACTGCCGACTCAAGCAGTCTGGCCTTTTGTGATAAAGTGGGATTCCCCCGCCTCAGATTTCCACATCATGTTCTTGAAATCTGTTCATTTCCATCCTCGTGGATCTAAACGCTAATGCACAACCTCATACAATTTATTCCAGACACACAGCTACCAGACTGGCTTACTTACTGCAAACCCTGATATCAGAGGTGGCTACAATGCCTGTCCCTAGACTGGATATAAACAGCTGAAATGCTAGGCATTTTCATAGGAACACTTCAGTGACTAAGATTAAAAGACAAGCCCCCAAGGCACCTGAAAGGCAAGTCCCATGGGAAGCAGGGCTACACCGAGCGAACCTCCAACCTCACAGGGTTCGATGAATGAAGCTGAGTTGGTAGATGTGACCCTCCTGTGTGGGTTGAGTGTTTTTGCAAAGAGAAAAACTTGCTCCATGAGACACAACTTCACTTCAGATGCTGCAAGACAGCACCTTGAGTCTGGGGGACACAACCCCACTGCTGGACAACTGATCATGGTAGAGAGTAGGAGCAGTGTGACCCAAGAGACCTAAGTCTCTGGACACTTCAAACCACAAATAGTATTTAATGCTATTACTAATGTTATTGCTTGTTTTGTTTTTGTGGTGCTAGGGTTCATCTTAGAACCTCACACATGCTAACAAGCATCCTACTACTGAGCGACATGCCCAGACAAAATGCCAGCATGAACAACACTATCCCACCAGGTCTTGATCATATAAAAAGTAGAATGCTTTCTGATCACTCAGTGTAATTAGATGACTCACAATTCCTGATCTGTACAGGAGATGGCAAACCAAACACTAAACAGTTTATACCAAGCTCACTTGTTAATGTACACACAGAAGTACAAAATAGTAAACGGGGCTGGAGAGATTGCTCAGCAGTTTAGAGTGCTTGCTGCTCCTGCAAAGGACCTGGGTTCAGTTCTCAGCATCCACAGAGTGGTTCACAGCCATCGATAACTCCTGTCCCAGAATGCAATACCCTCTTCTGACCCCCATGCACACCAGGCACACACATGGTACACATACATGCAGATGCAAAACACTCATACATACATAATTTTAATTTAACTTTTTTGAGATTGGGTCTCACCATGTAGACCAGGGTATGCTGGAACTCATAGAGAGCTACCTGCCTGCTTTTTTAAGTGTCGGGATTGAAGGTGCATGCCACCACACCCAGTTTTTTATTTTTTACTTTTGAGTAAAATTGTATGTATATGTCAGCACACAGAAGTGGGTAGTAGTTCACAAAACAAAACATCATGACCAAGAAAAATCGATTCCCAGAATCCACACTCGTTATTGGAAAAGCTATTACTAGAATAAAAGAGATTACATGGTTACTTTTATATTCATAATGTCGACTACATTTAAATATATTCCTTACTTAAAATCCTGGTTTACAAGGACTCGAGTTCTCAGAAACTCTTTAGCTTAATCATGTTTATTAGACTTTACCATGCTCAGTGGTAAAATAATTAAGCAATTTCTTGTAAAATTACCAACAATACAAGGATGTGTGGTCTCAAGGCTATTATTTGGTATTAGTCAGGACATTCTAGACAAGAAACAAGAAAACAATGAGGTGCAAATGCCAAAATGAAAGCGGGAAAGGGCGCAACTGCCAGTAAGTCTCGGAGAATGAAGAACATACCAAACTGCCTGAAGACAATACAAAAACAAGACAAAATCACCGGATCTTGGCAAAGGTGCATTCAGACAGATGAAACATGAAAGCAAGTCATTTTCTTTCTGTGTACAAGGAAAAGCATGATTGCCTGGGTGATATCCTCAGATGTGAGATCCCAGGCCCTGGACTGATGGCTGAGTGACTACAAGGCAGCAGGCCTGGTGGGGGTGATTGAGATGGGGAGATCAGCCTGGATTATCCAGACAGGCTCAATGGAATAACAAGGATTTTTATAAAACCGGATTAGCGTTAAAGACAGGTGATGTAAAGCCAGCGGTGGGAGGTGGGGTGGAGAGTGGCTCAGTTGGTGAAGTGTTTGCTGTGAAAACATGAGAGCCTCAGTTTAGATCCCCAGCATCCACATAAAAAGCCATGTGAGTGTATTTGTAACCGCAGCACTGGGAAGGCGTGGGGAGGAGATGGGGGTGGGGGGCCCTGCAGCTCATCCAACCAGTCCGGCAGAATCAGTGAGCTCCGGGTTCAGTGGGAGACTCCGTGTCAAAGACTAAGGCGGAGAGTGACTGAGGAAGACACTTGATGTTGACCTCTGACCTTCACGTGCATGGCCATGCACAGGCACATGCATACACACCCATGAACACACACACACACACACACACACACACACACACACACACACACACACAGACACACGAAGATAAAGGGGTGAAGAGGGAAGATGAAGAGAAGGAGGAAGGTGAGGTCTGAGAGGAGGAGTGTATGGTGGCATACCCTTGGAATCCTGGCACATTTAAGGCTGAGGCAGAGCAGTGAGGACTAGGCAGTGAGGCCCTGTGAGTGACATAATGCTTCAAGTAGAGGGCAAACGGGTAGAAGGTGGGACCACGAGCTGCAGCTAAGAGACATAAATAGACTCTAAACACTAAGAGCAAGGAGATGGGGTCTCCCGTTGGACCCGTAAAGGCACATGGACCTGTTCACACACTGCCTGCAGCCCAACGGAACAGATTTCAAGTGTCTGGCCTCTGACAGTCAAGCTGTGCCATTTTAAGCTACCAGGTTTTCAGTGACTTAACAAACCAGCAGGAAACTAGTTCAAAGTAACAAAATACAAAACTGAAAAGACCCAACTGAAGACATTACATCATAACCAACTCAAAGCAGCCTAAAAGAAATCTAGCAGAAATATCAAAAAGTCAGCCGGGTGTGGGGGCACAGGCCTTTAATCCCAGCACTCTTGAGTTCGAGGCCAGCCTGCTCTGCAGAGCAAATTCTAGGACAGCCAGAGCTGCACAGAGAAACTCTGTCTTGAAAAAGAAGAAAAAAAGAAGAAGAGGAATAAGGAGAAACGTAAATAAAGTTGTTAAGGAAATAAAAGAAAATAACACATAGAGAAATGCCATGAATGGAAAGATGGAGGAAACCACAGGACAAAATAGAATCAGCAGAAGCCAGCTTGCCACAGTCAATAAACAGAAAACAATTACTGCTCAGTTTCTTTGGGGGGATTAATAGGGGTAGGTAATCAATTGACAGACACAACAAAACTATCAGGGACTGAAAATCTAGCACCTGGGTCAGGCAGCTCACAACAGCCTATGACCCCAGACAAAGGGGAATCCAATAAGCTCTTGTGGCCTCTGAGGGCACTGAACTCACAAGCATATACCCACATACATACACACAATTACAAATAAAGTAAGTCTAAAGAAAAAAACCAGCAATAACTCTCCATGGTCTTTGTGATGGTCCCAGCAAGAGATTTTGTTTGTTTGTTTTTCGAGACAGAGTTTCTCTGTAGCTTTGGAGCCTGTCCTAGAACTCACTCTGTAGACTAGGCTAGCCTCAAGCTCACAGAGATCTACCTGTCTCTGCCTCCCAAGTGCTGGGATTAAAAATGTGCATCACCACAGCCCAGCTCCAGCAAGAGATCTTTTTTGATACTTTTCCTAGTTGCTTATCTCATTCCCTATAAAAAATTTCAAACCATTAATATGTTCTTTATACTGTTTATCTATGCTTCATACTTTAATAAGGGTACCCTCTCCCCTTTAAAAAGCAATCTTTGTGGTTTTGTGGGAGGTTTTGACCCTCTGGGAGTGGTATCACCATAATCAGAATGCTGTAGTAATTGAATATTTTATTGTTAGTAAAGAAACAAAAAAAACCTCACCAATGGAAAGAGAAGAATCAGTAAGTAGGCCTCCCCACTCAGGGGATGAGAAAACAGAACTTCAAATCAGTGGATAAGCAATATTTCTACCTTGATATAATTAGAAAAAATGTCCTCAACTAGAGCAAAATTTAATTTAAAATATGCTATAATATACAATAAAATACATAAAAGAATGGTTCTATAACCTTAGGTAGGAAAGACATACTAAGAAAACAAAAACTAATTTTTAAATTTTATTTTCTTTTGGTTTTTTCGAGACAGGGTTTCTCTGTATTGCTTTGGAACCTGTCCTGGAACTCTCTCTGTAGACCAGCCTGGCCTCAAACTCATAGAGATCCGCCTGCCTCTGCCTCCTGAGTGCTGGGATTTAAAGGCGTGCACCACCAACACCCGGCTAAAATTATTTTTATTGTATGTATATGCTGCCTGCATGTATGCTTGTGCACCACATAAGTACCTGGTGTTCACGGGGGTCACAGATGGTTGTGAACTGCCGAGTGGGAGTTAGGAAATAAACCTGGGTCTTCTGAAACATGACCCAAGTGCTTAAGAGCACCGAACTATCTCTCTGGCCCCTAAATATTAATTTTTAAATATTTGACATGAGAAAGTTAGCTTTTCTGTGTGGCAAAAGATATAATACCCAAGTTTGAAAGATAAGACACAAACAATGGTGGGAGTGGGGTTGAAAACATGATGACTTAAAATTTGAATCTGAAATGACTCCCACAGGCTCATGCTCTGAATATTA